GTGTGCCCAAGATCCCGAGAGGAGAATGGAGGAGAAGGGATTGCGGCGTGGCCATCCCCCCTGGAGGGTGATTTCTCGCTTTCTTTCTTTCTCTCTTTCTTTCTTTCTCTCTCTGTCTGGCTGGCAAGTGCATACACCCTATAGCAAAAACCTCTCCAAAAATAAATAAATAAATAAATAAATACCAGATCTTCATAATATTTGAATTAAATTTTAAATATCAACTATTTTCTCCATATTTTCCTGCTCAAAATTGTATTTCATTCACAATACAAATTCCTTCTCCTTTTTTATTACTCTTATTTCATTTAATCTTTTCATATATTTCCCGTACTTTTCTGTGCTTTGCCTTAAAACATATAACAGAGAAGTTGATAGCAATTTTTCTGGAGTGAAACAATCTAAGTGTTAATCCTAATTCTTCTCATGAGACATGTTGTTTTCTGGCTACTGCTGTGTTCGGTAGCACTATGTGAGACAGTAAACAGGGACCGACTTGGCCGTGAGGACAGAATGGCATCTGGCAGAGGCCCTAACACGGACTGGAGCCCAGTGATGAGATCTGGTAACATGAGTGCTGAGACAGGGATTCTTAACGTAGATCATGGATCACATGAAAGTGAGACTTCTGTTTCTCAGTTGTCTTTGTTCTGGTCTGAGAGCTCCCTGGTGCGTGAGCAGATTACACTTAGATTGCAGATTATCAGTTGAGGCTAGAGGGGCTGAAGGAGCAATCCCACCTATGTTCGTGGACCCACACTCAGAATTAATTTTTACGTAAGCCTCTCCAGATATCAGAGACAAAATATGATCTCAGAAAAGTTAAAGAATGATAAATATGAAATTGCGTGTAAAGACACGTGTACTTCCAGCAATGTACTGACGTCACTGGACCAGAACAGGCCGAAAGCAGGCTGTGCGTAGTAACCACCTGAACAGTCAAAGCAAACCCATCCCAGTGTAAGAAGACCAGTCGGGTGTTCAGATCTTTGCGGAAAATCAGGAGCAGTCTTCCCCAGGCCCTGGTAACTGCTGAGAACGTTTTAGCTGACTCTTCGTCATGTGCTAAGAAACATTGGTTCTGAATATAGAATACCTAATTTATCTTAATTTATCTACTTTTTAGATGTATGGTATCTGAAACTTATGGTGTTCAAACAGCCCATTTGCAGCGATAATTAAATGAAGACACAAAAAGATCATATAATTTTTAATCCAATATTGTTTTTTAAAGGAATATTTCATTTACTTTTATTTATTATTATAATTATTTAATTTGACCAGAGTGAGAGAGAGAGAGAGGAAGCAACATAACCAGGTCTGGGACTGGAAACACATTACGCTATGGGGGAGTTTAGCGTCTTAACCACCATGCCAACTGCTGGACCCAAATTCAATATTCTTACCATATATGAAAACAAGCAAATAATTATTTCACTCTATTTTAGCAAAGTACTCATCAAATTATAGAAAAATGTAAGCGCAGTCATTGACTAAAATGTTGTGTATCTGTACTACGATATATCAGTCAGTGAATACACAGCTCCGCAATGTTAGTGTGGGCATCTCCCCCTTGAAATGCTTCCGCTACATTTAGTCCTGTCAGCTTCTATTGTCCCAAATATTATTAGTCAGATATGGCTCAATGAAGACACCCGAAAATACCATGCAATTAACTGAGTGATTAAGATTTCTAATTATTCATATCTATTTCCATTGGATATGTGTGTGCATGTAGAGAGAGAAGGAACCTATACCCAGGCAATTTTCAAGTCAAGAGATAATATTAACATATTGACGGAATTCCTTTTGCCTATACTTTCCTTCCTGATCTCTGGCGTAGTTTCCCCGTGATGGCTGTGGAAGAACACCAGCCTGAGAATGGGATCGTTCTGGACAGAGGATACTGCCTGGAAGAAAGAACTCCATCCTGAGGGATCCATGCCGTGAAGCGGTATAAAAGCAATAATGACGTCCCCGAGTACACACACACACACACACACACACACACGCGCGCACACACTCCGTGCTGTCTCTTATCCGCACACAGATCCATTTAACTCTCAGCTGTTCATTCTGCCCAGGCCCGCCATTCAGTCCCTAAGCAGAATGAACCACAGCGTGGTGACCGAGTTCATAATTCTGGGCCTGGCCAAAACACCTGAACTCCGCAGGCTGCTCTTCCTGATCTTCCTCTTGGTCTACCTTGTGGCTTTCCTTGGCAACATGCTCATTGTCGTCGCCATCGCCTGCAACACCACCCTGCACACCCCCATGTACGTCCTCCTCCTGGCACTCGCCATCGTTGACATCATCTGCACAACGAGCATCATGCCCAAGATGCTGGGGACCATGCTGGCCTCCGGCAAGACCATCTCCTACGGGGGCTGCATGTCTCAGCTCTTCTTCTTCACGTGGTCCCTGGGGGCCGAGATGGTTCTCTTCACTGCCATGGCCTATGACCGCTACGTGGCCATCTGCTTTCCCCTCCGGTACAGCACTATCATGAGCCACTGCACGTGCGTGGCCTTGCTCGGCACCGTCATGGCCATCGCAGTAACCAACTCCTGGGTGCACACAGGTCTCATCCTGAGGCTGACTTTCTGTGGCCCAAACACCATCGACCACTTCTTCTGCGAGATCCCGCCACTGCTGGCTCTGTCCTGCAGCCCCGTGAGGGTCAATGAAGTGATGGTGTACGTCGCGGATATCACCCTGGCCGTGGGGGACTTCGCGCTCACCTGCATCTCCTACGGCTTCATCGTCGCCGCCATTCTCCGCATCCGCACGGTGCGAGGCCGCAGGAAGGCCTTCTCCACCTGCTCCTCCCACCTCACGGTGGTGTGCCTGTACTACTCCCCGGTGATCTACACATACATCCGCCCTGCATCCAGCTACAGCTTTGACAGAGACAAGGTAGTAGCCGCACTCTACACCCTCGTGACCCCCACACTGAACCCCGTGGTGTACAGCTTCCGCAACAAGGAGATGCAGGCTGGGATCAGGAAGGTGTTTGCGTCTTTGAAACATAATGGTTTGGAGAGGTAACATCACCTCTCTAGTCTATAATCATCTCCTAGGACGGATTGACATTTGCTGATCTTTTATACTTAACTCTTCCAGATTTTCTTTGCTCTCTCATTCCTCCCCTAGTTCTGGCGTCTTGGCTGTCTCCACAATTCATATTCTTCGTGTAAACAGTGCTTTTAATTCGCTCACGTCATAATCCATACCCCAACATCTTTCTAGACATACGCACACAACTCCTAGTCCCTGTAGATGCTTCAACACATTTGCTTAAAATGCATGTGCACATCCCGCACTCATCCATCATAGAGGAAGGTCCTTGCTAGTGTTACCGAATTGACTAGTCTGTGAGTCAGTTCATGGCTCCAACTTTCATAGCAAGAAAACATACTTTATCATTGCGAGACGTTGTGACAGAGACTATAAAGTTTTCTCTTGAAAGCAATGTTACGGTCAAAGTTCTGCTGCAGAATTTTTTAATCTATAAAGATATTTTCTCATTCTTCTTAAAATAATTTCATCTATGTCATTATTATTCATTCTATAATTTTTGTTCCATGAATATAAGAACTGCATATTAGTATCAAAATTTCTTTACATAGCATTTAGTGTGTGTGTGCATGCCTCCCCAGAATCCCAGGAGAGTGGAGAAGGGACTGTCCCTGGTCACTCTCCCTGCAGGATGATATTTCAGCTTCCCTTTTTCTCTCGCTCTATAGCAATTGCACACACCCTATGGCAAAAACCTAAAAAATGTTATCTGTTGATGATAATGTGTTTTGTATCCGCAACTGAACTGGTATGAAGTGCATTCATGTTGGGTCATTTCACTTTACAAGCTAAGTGACGTATAATGAGTGAATGTTTATGATTTCATAATCCAAGGAAATAAGTAAAAAGGAGAAGTGACTACATGGTAATGGATAAAGTCACAGATAAACTGTGGGCAGCATCTACTCCCCAGCTCTTCTACACGATGGCCAAAGGTAGATGTTTTGCACCATTTAAATTAGGGTCACATATGACACAGTAAAATACTTTCATTTATGCTTTGTTAATTCAGTCATAATAACATGAATATTTTCTGTACGTTTTTTAGAGTGGTATTCTTGCTATAGGGCATGTGTTCTCACCAGAGAGACAGAGAGACAGAAAGCAAGAAATCACTCCCCAGGACAAATGGCCACTCCACATTCCCTGCTCCACCATTCTCCTCTTGGGCGTTTGGACGTGCACACAAATGTGCCTGGTGTGAGGTTCAGGCTGCCAGCTCTGCCACTCAAACCGCCATTGGCCATGTGGGACTAAGTGACATAACCCTTACACCATCTGCTGGCTCCTTTCTGTACAATTTGTAGCAGAGATAATACCTATTACATTATAGATTATACTCATCATTCTAGTTTTTTCTTCCAGCTTTATTAAGGTACATTTGATTGCATATACTCGGAAGACAATGTGGCATTTTGACTTAGATATGCACTGTGAAATTATTAAATGAGACATATTAACATAATGGTCATCTCACATACACATACTTACGTTTTCTTTTTCTTTTTTTTTTGAAACTTTTTTTAGTTAATTAATTTACATTCATTTCCTAAGCATCCTCACAGCACAGCAAATGTGGTTTCCCATCCAGAATATACTGCATAGTGGCTGATGATTTTCCATTTCTAGTTTTATATATATATGTATGTGTATATATGTATGTATTTATATATTTTACCTATTTCTAACCCTCTGCCATTTCCTACCTTCCTCCCACACTATCTCTGGTGTCTACAGTTGTTTTCCATTTCTTCCTCCCCACACACATTTTATTGATTCACAAAATTTCTTAAATCATCTAATACTTTCAATAGCAAGTTCAGCTGGTATGTACATATCTGTGAATACATATCTGACTTTAGGCACGAAACTCTGAGTAGAATGAATGTACTATAAGGTAGCACCTAGCTTATGCTATATGGCTTAGTATGATCATTAAATAGGTATTTTTGAATATACTTTTTAATTTCAAGAAAAGCAGTTTTAACTTTAATAAATCATAGAAATGCTAAGGGACTTTGCTTAAAACTTAAATCCAGGAAACAGGTTAGGATTCTGTTCATGAGCCTATTGACAGCTCAAGACAGGACAAAAATCCTTAAAACTGGAAAACAAAGCCTAGAAGAAAATCAGCAATGTTTTAATCAAAAGTAATAAAATGCTACTTCGCCAGTTCAGTCTCATGTACTTACTCTATCTTCTGCTGTGGTTTGATCTTCCCGATTAAATTCTGGGATTTAAGAGTCAACTCCAGTCTTGTCCCTACGATTAAGTTGGCCCTATTCTTAGTTTTTAAACTCTTATTTCTGTACATTTGTATTTAATTTTCCTGGTATAGCACTCCCTTGAGAACTTGTTGGAGATCTGGTCTGGTGTTGGTAAATTTTTTCAGGTTTTGTTTATCTGAGAATGTTCTTGTCTTATCTTTCCATATGAAGGATAATCTTGCCAGGTACAATATTCTTGTTTGAAATCGCTTTTCCCTTAACACTTTGAATATGTTTATCCATTTTTTTCCTCACTTGCATTGTTTCTGATGAGAGGTCTGCTGTTATCCTGATGGGATATCCTTTGTAGGTAACTTGCCATTTTTCTCTTGCCAATCTTAGTAACTTGTCTTTGTGGTTTTGGTCAATCTGGCTATGATGTGTCTTGGAGAAAATCTTCTTCGGTTGATTCTATTTGAGGTCCTTTGTATTTCTTGAGACTGGATCTTTGAATGCCTCTCTATGTTTGCAAAGTTTTCTTGCAGGATTTCATGGAATAGATTATCAATGCCCTTTTGAGTTTCTTTGCCTTCTCAGATACCAATTATGTGGATGTTTGGATGTTTGATGGTATCTAGTATTTCTCATATATACTCATTTTGGGGGGAACTTTTCTCAGTCTTCACGGTGGATTTTCCTAGGCCAGCAATTCTATCTTCTACATCTGAGACTTGATTTTCTGTGTGATCTAGTCTGCTTTTAATATTGTCAAGGGAGATTTTGACTTCCTGTAGTATAGCCTTCATCTCTAACAGGTCCATTTGCCTCTTTCTCTCTTTCCTCTTTTAGATCTTGCAAGAATTTCCTCCCTCCTGGAACTCGTCAGCTCCTTTCTCCTGCCTCTTCTGCAGTTCATAGTCTCCCTTCCCTTCCATCTCTACTAGCTTTGTCGCGATTAATATTGTAAATTTTTAACAGACATTTACATGAGCTTCATTGTACTATCTGAGGATAGAGAGGAGTTATTCTTTTCCCTCATACTTACTTTTTCTGATGAGCACATTTAAGATCTACTCCATTAGCAACTGTATAAAGAATTAAGGGAAAGGAAATGAACACTCTATACCCGGATGACTAGGTACATATTTACAAATAGATACACATAATGAATAAGATACAGATGATAAATAAACCATAAGATTCACATGCTACAGGCACAAACCTGGACATGGGTGGGGGGTGCCCTGAGGGCAGGCTTCCATCCAACACCATCAGTGCACACCTCACCTGGTGGAAGGACACACGGTTCTCTGTGAACTCTCAAAGACTTCTGGATAACAAGTCTAGTTCTGTGTGGATAGACAGACAGACACATACAGAGGAGTAGTTAGGGATAGACAAAGTCGTATGTGTCATTGTGTGCCTGTGGATTCATATGCATACACAGGAACATACTCTACACACTGACAGGACATTAGTCTAACCTGGAATTCTTCCTATGAATTCAAAGAGGATCACAGAGTCATTCTGTTCTAAAATCACGCTGGTTGTAAACGTGTTCCACGACATAGAACTCGTTGGAGCGCTCTCTTCACGTCGGAGTTTCTCAGGCTGTAGATCATGGGGTTTAACATCGGGGTAACCACCCCATACAGCAGGGACACAACTCTTTCTCTGGCAGGGGAGTGCTGGCTAGAGGAGGGGCGGATGTAGGTAGATATGGTTGAGCCATAGAACTGGCAGACCATCAGCAGGTGGGACGCACAGGTGAAGAAGGCTTTGTGCTTCCCTTCGGCAGACTGGATCTTCAGGATGGTGGAGATGATGTACATGTATGAGACCAAGGTGGCCATGAAGGCGCTGGTCCCCAGGGTTCCCCCCATGACTAACACAAGCATTTCAGCAACGTCTGTAGGTGAACACTTGAGGGATGTCACAGTAGTACTGGTCAACCCGACGGGACTTGCAGAAAGACAAGTGGAAAGTGGTCACTGTGTGGACAAGAGAGTTGAGAAACCCTGCAGCCCAGGTCCCGGACGTTAGCTGAGCACAGCGAGCCCTGGTCATGAGGAGAGGGTAACGGAGCGGAAAGCAGATGGCCACGTAGCGGTCATAAGCCATGACAGCAAGGAGGAAGACTTCTGTCCCTGCCAGGGCCACCAGGAAGTAAAGCTGCAAAGCACACCCGATAAAGGAAATGCTTTGCTCCTCGGTCAGGAGGTTCTGGAGCATTTTGGGGACTGTAGCCGAGGGACAGAATATGTCTATGAGGGACAGATTTGCCAACAAGAAATACATGGGGGCGTGCAGCTTCTTCTCAGTCCCGATGGCCAAGAGGATGGACCCATTTCCCACCAGGGTTATCTGATAGATGACGGCAAAGACCACACACAGGGGGTAGCGCACCACGGGGAGGTCAGCGAGCCCCAGGAGGAGGAATCCCGACAGCACCGTGCCATTGTGGACCTCCATCTCCCCTGCCAGCTAGGCTGTCTCTGGACAAAATGAAAAACATTAAATAAAAACACGGGTTAGGGTCACAAAGCAATGAGTTCAGTGATGAAATGTTCTTGGAAAATAATTTGTATGTGACCAATGATGAATCGTATCAAGCTAGTCCTTTTTCAACCAGAGATTTCAACGGTTGGGAGTATTGTTAACAGCGTACGCATACACAGTATTTCCTAAAATATCCACCTTCAGTTTCTTATCAAGAGAATGCATCTGATAACTAAAGAGACATTTAAAATTCACTTTCTCAGT